AAGTTCTTAGAACCACCGCGGTGGTTACACCTAAACTTCGACTGGTTCCTAGAACAGTTTTGGACCGTGCCTAACACACCACAAAATTTAATATTAAAATAAATACATAAGAACATAAAAAGGATGTTGACTTACTAGAAACTTTTCACTAGAAAAAAGTCAAAAGGTATATCCAATCATTTAGATCTTTAGTTTCTTTAAGCCTATTTTGTAATGTTTCCTCCTAGTAGCACATGCTTGAATTTCTTGTGCGGGCACTCTTGAATTTGTTGAATCTGTTAGTCATTGTGTACTTCAGCCATTTGAATATATGGGTTCATTGACATTGATGTCAAATTTGGTATGAATTCAGTAATAATGTACATGCATTTAACTTTTTGGGTATTATATATTTCATATGGATTAGAGAACACGGATAAAGATATGAAGGACGTTACCGTGATACAAGCAATAATTTGTTTTTCCATATTGTTGGGAATTTTATTCCAAGTAAGAATTCTAACAGGGGCATAGTTCCTCGCAACAATTCCTATCTTACTGCTCAACTTTGCTACATTTACTCCCATAAGTACTCCATCTTTGTCCAAGTCTACATGCAACTTCGAATTGGATATTTGTATAAGTCTTTCACATCTGACTCCTCTAGTCTTCCCTCTCACGTTCTTTGCCACAATATTGCCTACAAATTCAAAATAATTTCTACAACTAAATAATATGTTATCACAAGGACTCTTGACATGCTTGTAAACTAAAATTGAGATGTGGCAATGACAAAGGCTGCAAAGAATTCAAGCTAGAGAGATGGCTGAGACGCGGGCCCTTCATGAGTGAATCAGCCTACAAGTTCACAGCTTTCAACGGCAGCCCTCGACAGTGTTTAGACAAAGATTTTGCGTACTATCAAATGAAATTCACTGCAGACGAAGGAAATGAGAACAGTTTTTCAGCTTCAATTCATTTGCTTCACATTATTTATATATATTAGCTTTAACTTGTCTACATCCAATCCATAAACACTCTTAACATTAGCAAAGCAAAGTTAACCACCTTGAAATTACAACAAATGCCCAACACGGAACATGTATTTTCGTTCTAAATTCGATATTCCTCATCAGAACATATAACACAAAGCATAAGCATATTTATGTTTAGGAAAGAGCTATTCCTCTTCACTACTCGTCACAACACATAACATATAACAAAAACAACCTTACTTCGATAATTCAAAGTTGATGAACTTACATGTAGCTCTCTCGCTTGTTCATTAACCCAACATTTCTCAAAGCTTCAACGATCCTATAAATAATTGTATAGGATCGAAAGATTCCTCAATTTGCTTTGCCTTAATAGTTTATAATGCCATTGACCATAAATTGAAATTAAATTAGTAAATGGGAAAATAAAGTTGTATGTATAGGTGAATAATTTTAAATATCTTTTCCTTTTGTACTAAATAAAGTTCTTAGAACCACCGCAGTGGTTACACCTCAACTTTGACTAGTTCTTAGAACAAGTTTTTGACCGTGCCTAACACCACAAAATTTAATATTAAAATACAATACATAAGAACATAAAAAAGGATGTTGAGCTTACCAAAAACTTTTCACTAGAAAAAAGTCAAAAAGGCATATCCAATCATTTAGATCTTTAGTTTCTTTGAGCCTATTTTGTAATGTTTCCTCCTCAGTAGCACATGCTTTGAATTTCATGTGCAGGGCACTCTTGAAGTTGTTGAATCTCTTAGTCATTCTGTACTTCAGCCATTTGAGTATATAGGGTTCATTGACATTGATGTCAAATTTGGTATGAATTCAGCAATAATATACATGCATTTAACTTTTCATGGTATTATCTACTATTTTCATATGGAAGTACGAGAACACGGATAAAGATATGAAGGACGTTACCGTGATACAAGCAATAATTTGTTTTTCCATATTGTTGGGAATTTTATTCCAAGTAAGAACTTTAACAGGGGCATAGTTCCTCGCAACAATTCCTATCTTATTGCTCAATTTTGCTGCATTTACTCCCATAAGTACTCCATCGTTGTCCAAGTCTACATGCAACTTCGAATTGGATATTTGTATGAGTCTTTCACATCTGACTCCTCTAGTCTTCCCTCTCACGTTCTTTGCCACAATATTGCCTACAAATTCAAAATAATTTCTATAACTAAATAATATGTTATCACAAGGACTGTTGACATGCTTGTAAACTAAAATTGGGATGTGACCACGACAAAGGCTGCAAAGAATTCAAGCCAGAGAGATGGCTGAGAGGTGGATGCTTCATGAGTGAATCAGCCTACAAGTTCATAGCTTTCAACGGCGGCCCTCCATTTTCACGCGTTTCCCACCCTTTGCTTTGAAAGTCCGAACTCTGAAGCTTCACTCTCACTGAACTCTGAAAATTACCGCCGGAGTCTTCCCTTCACCGTCGAAACTTGTCCCTGTAGTCTTCACAGTCAACGGTTTGCTTCGTCGTCAGTTGGGGTGCCGCTCATTTCGCGATCTTCTCTGGCGTCCACTCTTCATCACCGCCGATCTACGCCGTAATCCATCGTCTTCATTCTTGATTCTTCTCGGAGCTGCACAGTGCACGGTCGATCTGGATCTCGGAGCTGCACGCACTCTTCTTCACATTGCTTGAATCTGACTCAGCTCTTTATAGTTGCCCTGTTCACAGCCGAGCTCCACCTCCCCGACGGGCAATGAACGGTAGCTCATCTTCACCAGTAGGTAACTGTCACAGTGTAGGCATGTCTTTGTTTCAGCCTTCAGGTCTTGTGCATGATCAGGGCATTAGGCCTGAACCGAAATGGGAAGCCTTCGTAGTTTGTGGCTTCATTAACTACCAGTTCCTGGAGTGCTTCCTGAGGTGTGAGGGCTGAAATGTTAGGATCTTGGTTGTAGAAGAGGTCTCGGAATGTTGATTTCTGCTGCATTAGAATGATACCGTTCTCTCATTTTGTAACCTTCTGTACATATTGTCTCTAGATAAGGGATCAACCAACTCTGACTCTAGGAATATCAGCTTAAAACATTTACTAGTTGATGAATTTGTTGTGCATTTACCGGAGTTTTATTAACTAATCAAGTCATCAATTTTAATCAAATTATTGATTTGAATTTCATTGATTTTATCTCTTTTATGAATCTTCTAGGCTAGTAGAATGACTTAGGCTGGTGCTTGGAAATAATTGGAGCAAGTTCATAGTCATAGTTTGGGTTTAAAGAAATATTGTGCATCATCAAGTCTTTTTCAGGATTACTTGATATTATGCAATTTACATTTCGTTGCAGACATTTTGGCTGCTTGCTTTTACGTATACCTGCCTCTAATATGCTGTGATAGTTGAGCATAATGTGGATGTATGAAAATAAGAACTTGAGTAGGCTCATGGTTTCAGCCTTAAATAAGTGAAATGCATTTTCACTTTGTTTCCCACCTGCTTGCAATGGAGCTAATTATATGTCATTTATTATTTTATAAAAAGAGTTATCATTCTCTGGCCTGTTTGTGCATGATCAGGATTAGACAGAGCTTATATCTATTGAATTTACAAAAGTGGAAAAAATGTATTCTGCAAACAGTATTTTGATGATGTCATCAAATTACTGTTCACCGGTTGAACCACTGGTTCAACTGGTCAACCCAAGACCCACCCCTCTTGTCGGGTTTTGTCCCGGGTCGGTTTTTAAAACATTGGTGTGAAGGTGGCAAAAAATCATCTGATGGTGTCGAAACTTGATTTGACAATTTACGTGGAGCACAGATTGAAAGTGAATCTATACAAGCGTCAGGGGTTTGAGCTTCAAAAGTACTATAGCAATAACCATCCATGAATGAAGGCTAAGCCTGAGCTTGTATGAATAAAACATGGTTTTATTATTTCTTAATTTTTTAGGAATATTATAATTGGTATTGCGCTACATCATAAATACTGTATATAGGATTGATCGATACAAAACAAATGTAGGATTGTATTAAATTATGTTTGAATAATGGAGTTAATGTTGAGTGGATTGAAATTGAATAATAAATCAATTGATTCAAAGAGCTAAAATAACAAGTACTCATGCAATATGCAAATTGTAAGTGATGATATTTCCACATCGATCATTGGTCTTTCACTTCTAAAAAGTTTCTATATATGTTTATGTTAATAGTTGGTTTAGCAAAATTAATTAATGTGTAAATATAATTAAGTTCATATTTCATATGTGTATTAAATTGTCTAATCCGTGATAGAAGCCAAATTAATCTGTGTAAGGATAACAACTGCAACATATATGTTTGGTCTTTGACTTGCTCAACATATTATTATTATAAATAAACGACATTTTCCCACCCAAGATTTGACAAAATGGCAAGCTTTCACCATTGGTTTTATAAATTTTAGATTCTCACCTTTAAATTAACAGAATTTTTTTTAATATAACAGTCAAAATATAAAGTGATGTTAGTTTAAGAGTATGAATTTAGAATTTATAGCACCGAGGGTGAAAACTTGCTATTTTGTCAAATGTTAGGGTGAAACATGTCGTAAATAGATCTATTAGTAGAATTAATATTTTATTTCATTATAATAACACATAAATTAGAAATCAAAGTTATTATATTAACATTTTATTTTGTTAAAAAACAATTTAGTTATATATAAGAAAAATGTTATCCTTACAAAGAAGGCTACAAAGTGACATCATCTAGAAGAAAAAAACAAAGAAAAAACGGAAAAAGAGAAAAAGAGAGAGTGAGAAATCATGAAAATCAAGGATGATGATTGTCTTTGTATGTCCTCTTTGTATGTGTCTTTGTAAAATTAGCGTTGCTCTATATATAAAGCAGTGGAAAAGGTTAAGCAAGTATGTGGCAGTCAAATTAAAACAGTCAAAGGTATGGACGGGTGAGATTCAATGAGAGCATAATGAGCGTTGGGATTGAGAGAAGTATAAAAATAAGAAAGGGGAGGCAAGTGTAGAGGATTTAGATCAGATGAAACAAATGTAATCTAATATCCTATCCAATAGAGCATCCCTTCGAAGCCAACCTTCTCTTTTCTTTCTTCTTCTTCAATTCTGTTTTCCAATTCTTTATTTTAATCTACTCTCTTCATATAGCTATCTCAATTAATGCCAATGGAGACTTTATCTTCTCTTTGTACAACCCAAGCTCTTATGGCTCGTCATTGTTATCCAAGCTCCATCTCACTTGTTGGCTTCTCTTTGCCTGGTAAGACTCAAGCCTTCCCCAAGTGTATCAAAAAACGAACTCTTGGAGTCGTGAAAGCATCGGTCGCTGTTGAAACCAAGGTTGCTATTATCAGAATTGGTACTAGAGGAAGGTATTTATTTATGTTTGTTCACTTTCTGTGAATTGTTCGTACTTTTTGCTGCTTTCTCGAGAAAATATATTTTTGATGTTATTGATCTTGGTTATCTACAAGTTATGTTTGTGGGTATGTTTAGTTTGTGCTTCAAATTTTGTACATACTTTGGATGTATTCTTCTGAGAAGGATTTAACTTTATTTCTCTATACAGTTGAATTTATATGTATTTTGGTGTTCCTCTTTTGTTTAGATTTTACAATTTTCTTTTGGTTTAATATGGAAACTGTATGTAGTTTTTGATTTATTATATTATCAATTTCATGCTTTTGTGTTTAAATCTTACCGACTTTTGGTTATGTTGTTATCAATCTTTCTCTTTATCTGATGTAATTGATTAGACAGTGGGCTTATATTTAATGTGCTGTAAATTTCCATTATTCTCTGAATTTATAATACGAAATTAACTATACTGTTAAGTAAAAGGAGAAATAGACCTTTCGTATTAAAGTTCATACAATGTGGATTTGAGTTGTGTTTATATGAATCATTCTGTTCTCTTTAGTGGTCTATCTGAACTTTCTGTTTGGATTTTTGTCAAAAGTAATTGACGATGGTATGGATCAATCAGTAGAACCTATATTTCTACCACTAAAGCTTATCTTTCAATTTCCTTGAATTTATATTAGTTATGAGTTGCAAATAATTTCCCCTTCAATTTATTGTTTTGTACCCATTTTTTACTCTTCTTGTTTCTGGTTAGTTACATTCTTCCTATTTGTAGGACAGCCCACTGGCACTTGCTCAGGCTCATGAGACACGAGACAAACTCATGTCGTTGCATCCAGAGCTCACTGAAGAAGGGGCTATTCAAATTGTAATAATAAAGACAACAGGTGATAAAATACTATCTCAACCACTTGCAGACATTGGTGGGAAGGGCTTGTTCACGAAAGAAATAGATGAGGCACTAATAAATAGTGAAATTGACATTGCTGTCCATTCAATGAAAGATGTTCCTACATATTTACCAGATAAGACAATTCTACCTTGCAACCTTCAGCGTGAGGATGTCCGAGATGCATTTATTTCCTTGAATGCAGCTTCTCTGGCTGAACTACCTGCTGGAAGCACAGTTGGTACTGCTTCACTTAGAAGGAAGTCCCAAATTCTCTATAGATATCCATCGCTCAATGTGAGTCTTTGTACATCTATATGTTGCAATTTTCTTTATCTATATGTTGCAATTTCCTTTCTTTTTAGCTATAATCACATTCAGAAATTGCTTCAGATAATCTTTGCCCTCAAGTTTAATCATAAGCACGCATACAATATGTATTGATTTTACGTTACATCACTCAAACTCACGGACAGACATACTCACATTGCAAAAAAGAACCTTTATCATGAGTTAACAATTTCAAAGGTGGGAGGAGAGAGTTGGTGATTGAGGCCTTGAATGCAATCTTATGATGCTGGCCAAGATGGCAGTGTTATGGATTGACAGACTTGTGCCACTTGGAATTGATAAATTTCTTAGTTCTTAGCCTGAATGTGATCATGGGCTTACTGCATGCTAGATATAACTATTACTGACAAATAACTTGCTGGGTTTATCATGGTCCTGCACTTAACCATATAAGCCTTTTCTGAAAAATTGATTGCTGGAACGAAAAGACAGATGAGCACAAGATTAGTGGGTTGGACAAAAATATTGAAGCAACATCTAGAAATTATCACTGAGTTGTTAGGAGGTTCCTGTTTTTGTTACTTTTTAATAACATCCTTTTATTTGAGCTGTGAGGGACTGGCCAATGGCTGTGGAGGGCCAAAATGCATCTTATCTCCTATATATATACACATTAAAGCTGCCTTAGTCATCATTTAGCTGCAAGCTTTCTTGTATTACGCCTCTCTCGAATTTCTTTTTGGATAAAATGTTTGCTCTCCCCTTCCTTTTGGTAACAGTGTTGCTCTTATTCTTCAATTTTCTCCTCAGATTAATGATGCTTTTTTATTGCATTTTTGTTAATGCATTTGCTTAAATTCATTTGCAGGTGCTGGAGAATTTTCGAGGTAATGTCCAAACAAGGTTGAGAAAACTTAATGAGGGGGTGGTCCAAGCAACATTGTTAGCACTTGCTGGACTTAAACGCTTAAACATGACAGAAAACGTTACTAATGTTCTTTCAATTGATGATATGCTTCCGGCTGTTGCTCAAGGTGCAATTGGGATTGCCTGTAGAAGCGCTGATGAGAAAATGGTACATTTTCCAACCTTTCATATTGAATGATTTTATTTATATTGGAATAGTTTCCTGCAATTTGCATTCTAATTTATGCTTTTGGATTTATAATTATATTCTATGCAGCATTACTGCACCCTGCTCGCTGGCAGGCCACTGATATTATTAATCCCTCTGAATTGTGAAAAAAAATTAATACCACAATTTCGAGATTTGAAGTTTTGATTTATTAAGTTGGTTAATTAAAATTTTCATGTCTTAATAACATTATGGATATTTAGGAAAACCTAAAATAACAAACCATAAATTAAATAATAACAGGAAACGTATCAAGTGTTGTTGTGTGTTCTCATGGATACAATGCATGGTTCCTCGGAGAACAAATTGAAGAGAAACACTTAGAAGGGGGAAGCTTACTAACATATGTTCTTTGAATCTTTTTACTGCTTCTATTACATTCTATTTGAGAAGTTTTCAGTTAATTTGAGTTATGCTCAATGGATGATTATATTTTAGTGTATATATGATTACAATTATGTTTAACAATGCTTCTAATTTCTTTCTCTAGTGATGTCATTCACATCTGCATTATTATTGAAATTTTTTCTTCTAGGGTTTGTTCTGTGAAGTCATGTTAATGTCTTTTTATTTTGTTTTCACCTTTTGTTTGACTGCGCTTTGCAGGCTAATTACTTGGCATCTTTGAATCATGAGGAAACTAGACTTGCAGTTGCATGTGAAAGGGCCTTTCTTGAGACCTTGGATGGGTCTTGTCGCACTCCTATTGCTGGATATGCTTGCAGAGACGAGGATGGCAATTGCATCTTTAGAGGTTTGGTGGCTTCCCCTGATGGAACTCGCGGTACAGTTTGGTTTGCTCTTGAAAGAGATTTTTTTCTCAGTTTTCATTTAGCTACTGTTTAGAGTTCTGTTACATCATTGTTTCTTCTTTGTCTCTGTTTTGCAGTACTTGAAACTTCTAGAAAAGGTCCATATGCTTATGAAGATATGATAATGATGGGAAAGGATGCAGGCAAGGAACTTCTTTCACGTGGAGGCCCTGGCTTCTTTGATTCTTGAGTAGCTTAAAAAAGGCACAAGGAGAAACAGAACAACTCGGGGGTTTACGTTTAACTTCAAGGAATAGATCCAGAAAGTTCAATTTTCCTCCTAAATTTTCATTTGTTGTAACATTAAGAACGATAGTTTGATTGATTTTAAGCTAGAAGAGAGTGTCCTAATTAGTGATGTGAGAGGCTTAGATTATTTTGTTCTTTAATAATATTAGAGAGCCAAATTTTATCTCCCTCCCTCTTTCTGTGTGTTTGTGTTTTCTTCCGTGTGTGCCTCATATATTTGGTTACACATGTGTGCATGTGTCTGCGTGTTTATTCATGATAACTTGAAAAGATATATATTTTTAGACCATGTAAGATATATACTGTACTAGATTGGTTGTAGGTGTTTCAAAACATATAAAAATAAAAAACATTCAGATGGATTAGTGGCTTACAAGTTACAGTACATAAGAAGTGTGCATAGTTGATTCCTGTGCTTGGTCATCTTACCCAATAATCAGAAAATAGTTCTTTTCTGTGAATTTAGAAATTATGCCTATCAGATTCCTTAGTTCTATGCTGCATGCCTGCTAGATTGAATTACACAAGATTGTTAGGTCTTTGTTTCAATGTTCCAGCAGGTAAACTTCTTCCATTTTCAATTATAGTTTTGCCATTCAGGTTTCAGCTTGTTGCTCTTTTCTGACTGGGATTTAGATTTGTATGACCTGTTTGGACAGAATTGCAGGGAATGATCATTGCCTGCACAAATGAAGATTCAGGTATGTTTGCTTTTCTCTGCAGGTTCATGATAAAAGGCTGAATTGAATTGAATATCATTATCAAATTCTCATGATTCCTATAAACTTTATATTTTACCAGTCAGTCAGAGATGGTGTGGCATTAGTTGCTGTATATAAAGAATAGCATACTTGTTCAGCACTTAAGCTCTTACAGAAGTTATTTCCATCATTAAATGTGGAATGAAGTGGAGGATTTTCATTGTGAATGAAGTTTGTGGACTTATGAGCCAAAACAGACATGTAATTTGTGAGAAGGAGAGATGAAGGAAGTGATTTTAGGTGATAAGTAGTTAGCATGGCCTATGAGTTACTATCTTAACTGAATGTCTTCTTTGTAGGACTCCACGTTTTAGTAATTGATAAAACACTGGAGTTTTTGTCCCAAAGAATTAAAGTCGAAGATAGAAAGCTAAATTGACTGATAATACTAAAAAAAGCTATCTTGATCCTTTTGGAATTGATTTCTAAGACTATGTCTACAATGGCTTGCTTTCTCATTTAAATTATCTATATATCTCATTGATGTCTGATTACCATATGGACACTTTACTTGTATTTGAATATTGTACTTAATCTTCCCCTCGGCAACTTTATTCAGTATGGTTAAACATGTTTCAAAAATTGCTTATTTTGTCATAATCTTCACATATCTGGCACCTAATTTAACTTTGGTTTGCTTCAATATCTTACCATCTCTTAATTGAACCATGTAGACATTCTATTACATTGAGAATTGTAGATCCCAGGTGGTTTTTTTTGGGGTGATGGATGACTTCTTTCCAAGAAGCTACTTCATAGTGAAGGTTCTGAAATGTTGTTGGAGTAAGCTTTAATAAGGGGGCACATATATATATAAAGGCTTCAATAATTGTCAATTCAAATCAGCAATCATTCTTTCTCTTAAATTTGCTTTATCTTTCAGGCCACTTTGCGACAGTGTGTACCATATCTGCCACAGCATTTGTTCTATATGGAGGTATCACATTCTCTTGTTCCTTTACGGACCAGATGTTTCTCTGTCCTACAGTGTTCCATTAGTACCTTTTATGTTTAATTCTTATCTCCCAATATTTATTTTTTTGTATTAATTAGTGATAATCTTTCTCATTTCCTTGGCTTAAAGATTACAGTTAATTACTGTCATGTATTAATGCTTTTGCTATCACGAGTGCCGAGTGCCGACTGAAGTGGCTGCTGCCGTGACTTAATGTCAAGTGGGTATATACCACTTGTCTATTAATTTCAAACTTGATTTGGAAATATAATAGTGAATCAAATCGTGGAATAGATTGATCAACATCTCTCTCCTAATAAGTATGAATTGATTTATTCCGTACAATTTCCTTTTGTTTAATAAGCATTTTGTCCCCTATTTTTCTTTGAATATTTTGTCCATCCTAGTATCCCTATTTTTCCCTTTTAGCTGTGCGTAGGAGGTGTCTGGGAAGTATTCTTTTCAGTGAAAGTAAATTGTGGCTTGTTAAAAATGGAGTGGTTGACTCAAATTGGTGGTTGCATAGAACTTTACTCTCCGACACTTTCTTTGAAGTGAGAAATAGAAATTATGTTCTTATATTTTTGTGTAGTCTTTTTCTTTAATTGTTGGAACCAGCTGTCACACATACTTTTTTGGCTAATGTCATCCTTTTAAAGAATAATTTATTCATTCATTTGACGCTCGGAGAATTAAATGGCTATTCAAGCTTAGAATTGTGTATTCTGTCATACTTTATATGAGAGGTATTTTGGCTGCTTACTGGAATCTGGGTTCAGTTCAGCTTTTATGACTTTTTTTTTTGAAAGGGTTTTATCTTCTTTTAGTTGTGCTGGGCTTAGCATTTTTGCAGTCATCAGAGCCCTTGTAAATGAGGAACACAGGAGCTATCTACCCATTCTAATTTATAGGTATTAGGGTTGATGGCATAATTATTCAGATTGAGGATTTCCCATTTATTCTTTACTTTTTAGCCAATGGCCTAAATGCTCTTAATTTGAGATGAATTTGCTGGTCGTAGCAGCCTTGATCTGAATTCCTCTGGTTTCACCATTAATAACAAATCTTTATTTTAAAACTCGAACCAAACTGGTCAATTCAATCGGTCCGACCAGGAATCGGTCCCTTTTCTAGTCCGGGGACTCTTTAAACCGGTTTTAGCCATTAGCCCACGGTTGAACTGGTGGAACAGTGTTGAATCGCCGGTTCAACTGCCGGGTTAGAGAACCAATCATTTCTTGTTGGCCATTTTCATTGTTTTTCGACGGATTTTGCATCCAAAATCACGGAAAACACCTCCCAATGCTGAGTCATGCCTTTTTTGGCTTGATTTTGTCGCCTTCACCAGATCCGAGTTTCTTCTTCATGTCGCATGATAATTAGCTGTCCACATCGCCATCAGTTGTCCACACCATATCGTCCACCTATTGCCGACACCATCTCACCAACCTGCCATCTCCACCAGACGACTCCCCTAGTTTGTGGTGGGTTTTGTTGTGGCAGTTGGTGGTATTTTGTGGTGGATTAGGGTTTTCGTGGTGGCCTGGTGGTGGTTTGTCAGGTGTTGCGTTGATCTAGGATGGATTGTAGTTGCGGCGGTTAGGGTTTCCTAGCCAAATTATAGGGGTGTGTTTGTTAGATTTCAAACATGCAGGGACTGATGGGAATCTCTCAGGGGTATGTCTGTTAAGTTTCAAACTAAGGTTTTCTATTGATGTCACGGGTTTGACTTGCTGGTCAAACCGCCCAGCTCAGGGACTAGTCCCTTAACCGGGTCAAGGCTCGGTCCGAGTATAAAAACATTGTAACAAATTATCTTACAGTAAGTCTCATACACCGTGAACCCTTCGCAGGTTAATGCTTTGATGAGCGTATTAGTCCAAGTTATCTATAGCTGTTTAATGGATAGGAGGATGTAAATACAATAAGTTTCTTTTAATGAAGTTGTTTTGAATTAGCATGATCCATCATTAGTTGTTTTACAGCAGTTGCAGGTTTATCTGGTTTCAACAGGTATATATATATAACTCTTCAATACATTTACATGCTCACCTGCACATGAACACTAATTCATTTCACAAATTTAATGTAAAAATTTAATTTCTCTACAAATTGCATGCTCAATACAGTTATTTGATAAATCTGTCTTTCAATTATTTATTTATTTTTTTATTCTAGTTGGCTTCATTTATATATTCCCAATAATTTAAATTTAGGTGTCCTAAATCATCAACAGAAAGTAAAAATTAAAAGGCTTTAGAAGGCAATTTCTTATTGGCCAAGAAGTGTTGAACCAGCTGAAGAGATTGCTTTGGTGCAAAAGTTGGAACTTGGTGACCACAAAGCAATTTGTAAGTGATGATATTTCACATTGATCATTGGTCTTTCCTCTAAAAAGTTTATATATACGTTTATGTTAATAGTTGGTTTCAAAAAATTATTAATGTGAATATAAATAAGTTCATATTTCATATGTGTATTAAATTGTCTAGTCCGTGATAAGCCAAATTAATCTGTGAAGGATACAACTGCAACATTTTTTGGTTTTTGAGTTGCTCAACGTATTATTATAATAACGACATTTTCCCACCCAAGATTTGACAAATTGGCAAGCTTTCACCATTGGTTTTATAAATTTTAGATTCTCACCTTTAAATTAACAGAATTTTTTTTTAATAACAGTCAAAATATAAAGTGATGTTAGTTTAAGAGTATGAATTTAGAATTTATAGCACCGAGGGTGAAAACTGCTATTTTGTCAAATGTTAGGGTGAAACTGTCGTAAAATGATCTATTAGTAGAATTAATATTTTATTTCATTATAATAACACATAATTAGAAATCAGTTTTATATTAACTTTTATTTTGTTAAAAAACAATTTAGTTATATATAAGAAAAATGTTATCCTTACAAAGAGGCTACAAGTGACATCATCTAGAAGAAAAAAACAAAGAAAAAACGGAAAAAGAGAAAAGAGAGAGTGAGAAATCATGAAAATCAAGGATGAATTGTCTTTGTATGTCCTCTTGTAGTTGTCTTTGTAAAATTAGCGTTGCTCTTATATAAAGCAGTGGAAAAGGTTAAGCAAGTATGTGGCAGTCAAATTAAAACAGTCAAAGGTATGGACGGGTGAGATTCAATTAGAGCATATGAGCGTTGGGATTGAGAGAAGTATAAAAATAAGAAAGGGAGGCAAGTGTAGAGGTTTAGATCAGATAAAACAATGTATCTAATATCCTATCCAATAGAGCATCCCTTCGAAGCCAACCTTCTCTTTTCTTTCTTCTTCTTCTCAATTCTGTTTTCCAATTCTTTATTTTAATCTACTCTCTTCATATACATCTCAATTAATGCCAATGGAGACTTTATCTTCTCTTTGTACAACCCAAGCTCTTATGGCTCGTCATTGTTATCCAAGCTCCATCTCACTTGTTGGCTTCTCTTTGCCTGGTAAGACTCAAGCCTTCCCCAAGTGTATCAAAAAACGACCTCTTGGATCGTGAAAGCATCGCCGCTGTTGAAACCAAGGTTGCTATTATCAGAATTGGTACTAGAGGAAGGTATTTATTTATTTTTGTTCACTTTCTGTGAATTGTTCGTACTTTTTGCTGCTTTCTCGAGAAAAATATTTGATGTATTTATCTTGGTTATCTCCAAGTTATGCTTGTGGGTATGTTTAGTTTGTGCTTCAAATTTTGTACATACTTTGGATGAATTCTTCTGAGAGGGATTTAACTTTATTTCTCTATGCATTTGATTATATGCATGTAGGTGTTCCTCTTTTGTTTAGATTTTACAATTTTCTTTTGGTTTAATATGGAAACTGTATGTAGTTTTTGATTTTTATATTATCAATGTCATGCTTTTGTGTTTAAATCTTACCCTTTTGGTTATGTTGTTATCAATCTTTCTCTTTATCTGATTTTGATTAAACGTGGGCTTATATTAATGTGCTGTAAATTTCCATTATTCTCTGAATTATAATACGAAATTAACTATACTGAAGTAAAAGGAGAAATAGACCTTTCGTATTAAAGTTCATACAACGTGGATTTGAGTTTGTTTATATGAATCATTCTGTTCTCTTTAGTGGTCTATCTGAACTTTCTGTTTGGATTTTTGTCAAAAGTAATTGACGATGGTATGGATCACAGTAGAACCTATTTTCTACCACTAAAGCTTATCTTTCAATTTCCTTGAATTTATTATTTATGAGTTGCAAATATTTCCCTCTTCAATTTATTGTTTTGTACCCATTTTTTACTCTTCTTGTTTCTGGTTAGTTACATTCTTCCTATTTGTAGGACAGCCCGCTGGCACTTGCTCAGCTCATGAGACACGAGACAAACCATGTCGTTGCATCCAGAGCTCACTGAAGAAGGGGCTATTCAAATTGTAATAATAAGACAACGGTGATAAAATACTATCTCAACCACTTGCAGACATTGGTGAAGGGCTTGTTCACGAAAGAAATAGATGAGCACTAATAAATAGTGAAATTGACATTGCTGTCCATTCAAGAAAGATGTTCCTACATATTTACCAGATAAGACAATTCTACCTTGCAACCTTCAGCGTGAGGATGTCCGAGATGCATTATTTCCTTGAATGCAGCTTCTCTGGCTGAACTACCTGCTGGAAGCACAGTTGGTACTGCTTCACTTAGAGGAAGTCCCAATTCTCTATAGATATCCATCGCTCAATGTGAGTCTTTGTACATCTATATGTTGCAATTTTCTTTCTATATTTTGCAATTTCCTTTCTTTTTAGCTTAATCACATTCAGAAATTGCTTCAGATAATCTTTGCCCTCATTTTAATCATAAGCACGCATACAAATGTATTGATTTTACGTTACATCACTCAAACTCACGGACAGACATACTCACATTGCAAAAAGAACCTTTATCATGAGTTAACATTTCAAAGGTGGGAGGAGAGAGTTGGTGATGAGGCGAATGCAATCTTATGCTGCTGGCCAGATGCAGTGTTATGGATTGACAACTTGTGCCACTTGGAATTGATAAATTTCTTAGTTCTTAGCCTGAATGTGATCATGGGCTTACTGCATGCTAGATATAACTATTACTGACAAATAACTTGCTGGGTTTATCATGGTCCTGCACTTAACCATATAAGCCTTTTCTGAAAAATTGATTGCTGGAACAAAAGACAGATGAACCAAGATTAGTGGTTTGGAACAAAATATAGAAGCAACATCTAGAATTATCACTGAGTTGTTAGGAGGTTCCTGTTTTTGTTACTTTTTAACATCCTTTTATTGAGCTGTGAGGGACTGGCCAATGGCTGTGGAGGGCCAAATGCATCTTATCCCTTATATATATCACATTAAAGCTGCCTTAGTCATCTTTTAGCTGCAAGCTTTCTTGTATTACGCCTCTCTCTCTCATTTCTTTTTGGATAAAGGTTTGCTCTCCCTTCCTTTTGGTAACAGTTTGCTCTTATTCTTCAATTTTCCCTCAATTATGATGCTTTTTTATTGCATTTTTGTTAATGCATTTGCTTAAATTCATTTGCAGGTGCTGGAGAATTTTCGAGGTAATGTCCAAACAGGTTGAGAAAACTTAATGAGGGGGTGGTCCAAGCAACATTGTTAGCACTTGCTGGACTAAAACGCTTAAACATGACAGAAAACGTTACTAATGTTCTTTCAATTGATGATATGCTTCCGGCTGTTGCTCAAGGTGCAATTGGGATTGCCTGTAGAAGCGCTGATGAAAAATGGTACATTTTCCAACCTTTCATATTGAATGATTTTATTTATATTGAATAGTTTCCCGCAATTTGCATTCTAATTTATGCTTTTGGATTTATAATTATATTCTATGCAGCATTATTGCACCCTTCTCCTGCAGGCCACTGATATATTATCCTCTGATTGGAAAAAAAATTAATCCCACAATTTCGAGATTTGAAGTTTTGATTTATTAAGTTGGTTAATTAAAATTTTCATGTCTTAATAACATTATGGATATTTAGGAAAACCTAAAATAACAAACCATAAATTAAATAATAACATGAAACGTATCAAGTGTTGTTTTGTGTTCTCATGGATACAATGCATGGTTCCTCGGAGAACAAATGGAAGAGAAACACTTAGAAGGGGGAAGCTTACTAACATATGTTCTTTGAATCTTTGTACTGCTTCTATTGCATTCTATATGAGAAGTTTTCAGTTAATTTGAGTTATCTCAATGGATGATTATATTTTGTGTTATATGATTACAATTATGTTAACAATGCTTCTAATTTCTTTCTCTAGTGATGTCATTCACATCTGCATTATATTGAAATTTTTTCTTCTAGGGTTTGTTCTGTGAAGTCTTAATGTCTTTTTATTTTGTTTTCACCTTTGTTTTTGACTGCGCTTGTCAGGCTAATTACTTGCATCTTTGAATCATGAGGAAACTAACTTGCAGTTGCATGTGAAGGGCCTTTCTTGAGACCTTGGATGGGTCTTGTCGCACTCCTATTGCTGGATACTTGCAGAGACGAGGATGGCAATTGCATCTTTAGAGTTTTGGTGGCTTCCCCTGATGGAACTCGCGTACAGTTTGGTTTGCTCTTGAAAGAGTTTTTTTCTCAGTTTTCATTTACTACTGTTTAGAGTTCTGTTACATCATTGTTGCTTCTTTGTCTCTGTTTGGCAGTACTTGAAACTTCTAGAAAAGGTCCATATGCTTATGAAGATATGATAATATGGGAAAGGATGCAGGCCAGGACTTCTTTCACGTGGAGGCCCTGGCTTCTTTGATTCTTGAGTAGCTTAAAAAAGGCACAAGGAAAACAGAACAACTCGGGGGTTACGTTTAACTTCAAGGAATAGATCCAGAAAGTTCAATTTCCCTCCTAAATTTTCATTTGTTGTAACATTAAGAACAATAGTTTGATTGATTTTAAGCTAGAAGAGAGTGTCCTAATTAGTGATGTGAGAGGCTTAGTTATTTTGTTCTTTAATAATATTAAGAGCCAAATTTTATCTCCCTCCTCTTTCTGTGTGTTTGTGTTTCTTCCTTTGTGGCCTCATATATTTGGTTACACATGTGCATTTGTGTCTGCGGGTTTATTCATGATACTTAAAAGATATATTTTTAGACCATGTAGATATATACTGTACTAGATTGGTTGTAGGTGTTTCAAAACATATAAAATAAAAACATTCAGATGGATTAGTGGCTTACAAGTTACAGTACATAAGAAGTGTGCATAGTTGATTCCTGTGCTTGGTCATCTTACCCAAATCAGAAAATAGTTTTTTCGTGAATTTAGAAATTATGCCTCAGATTCCTTAGTTCTATGCTGCATGCCTGCTAGATT